AAAAAAAAGAGAATTTGCAAAAACTTGCAAATGGAAACAGTAAAGCTGTTGTCACTAATTTGTTCTCAATTAAAATGAATCAGGTTAATAAAAAAACCTGTTTGATGGATTAAATTAAACATTTTGAAAATTTGGTCACATTTTTTTCAAACACCAACTAGAACAAGCAAATGGAAACGTAAATAAAAAAACCCAACAATCCCATTAGATGTCATTTTCATGCCACGTGCAGCGATTTGCAATTTAACAATATATTTAAAAAATAAGTACATCATGTGTGTTTCCATTGCTGCAGAATAATTCCTTTTACAAATGAAAAAAGATACATTTCTAACTGAACATAATAAAGACAAATCTCTTTTATAAAAGAGATAAACTTTACTAAGTTTATCTCACCCCCCTACAAACAGTAACACCTGGTGCAGTAGCAAGAATCCAAGGCAGCAGAAAAGCCTTTTTGTTTTCTGTTTATGATCTTAAAAAAAAAAAAAAAAAAATTAACGATTATCTGCATCTTAATCTAACCTCTGGGGCTCCGGTTGTTTGACAAATGTTTTCCTTCCAAAATCTCCAGGGTCTGTTTTTCTGTTGGTTTTTTTTTTGTTTTTTTTCCAACCACTTCTAACAGACACCAGATTCCTGTACAGGTACAGCATGAAAGAAGAAAGGGAGAGTGAAAAGGGAAAAAAGAAAAGAAAGAGCACAGGCACATCAGTCCCTCTCCCCCTGCAGCCTTGCCCTCTTTCCTGAGGATCTTGTATCGAGCAATCAGGCCTCGCCGGGGCCCAGACAAGCAGGAACCTTTAGATTGGAACCAGTTGTGAGGTATTAGGGAAGGTGTGTGCACCAGGGTGAGGGTCAGGCTGTGCCTGCTAGCGTGTGTGTGTGTGTGTGTGTGTGTGTGCGTGTGCGTGCGTGTGTGTGTGTGTGTGTGTGTGTGTGTGTGTGTGTGGCTGTGCTTGGAGGTTTAATTGGCGTTGCAGGAATGATTGTGTGCATACAGGTAAAAAAAAAGAATACACAAGTGTATTTGTATATTTTGTGTGTGTGTGTGTCCCTCCTATCTTCCATGTTTCTTTTGATTTAAAGGAGTTGCAGAAAGGAGAAGCAGTAAAAAAAAAAAAAAAAAAAAATCAAAATACATGGCAGCATTTCAATGAAATCAGCGCAGAAATCTGGGCCTCTGCCGCTCAGTGACACCCCAAGGTGACGCTTTTCAAGCAGGTGCACACGGGGCAAGGCATCAAACGCAAACCCGCACAGAACGCATTTCATAGCAAGAAAGCAGCGAGTCGCAACTTCTTCATGCGACGTCGACCTTTAACGCTGTCCAGACGCACACGTGCAGCTGGCGGCCATGTGCTCGCTGCAGGTGCTCCACTCTGAGCTGCTTTATTAATCCCTCTGCGGACTCCGCAGCAGACAGACAGACACACACACACACACGCCGGGACTCATTCAACTGAGAGAGCACGGCTGAAAGCTGGTGTCCTTGAACGCACCTTGACGGTTCCTACCAGCTCTGCATGTCATCATCACCTCCTCTGTGGAAACTAGAGCTGCAGGTGACCGAGCTTCACCTGCAGCTCCAGAAAGAAAAGGCCTTAAAAGGAGGGAATAGAAAAAAAAATCTATTGGTCTTAAAAATAGTTTACACTTTTTGGGGTTTGGAAAAAATATGAGATTGCTGCAATTGTATTTTACATTTTTTTCGTCTGAAATCAGCACCTGTACGTTGTTGACAGCATGAGGCAGGGGATTTGATTACAATATTGGTTGCATTTATTGCAAATTTAATAGCAAAAATAAATTGGTTTAAAAAAATATATAATGGAGTCAAACTATAATGGGAACAAATTAGTCACCAGCTATAGAGACAGAGCTCCACAAATGAAAATCATCCCAGGAATTTAAGTGATGTATGTAAATGTTCATTACATTAAGTAGAGCAGTTGTGAAGCTAAACAACAGTTAATATCTGCTTTCACTTCCTGATGCTTTCCTGGAGCTGACAGTGAGGAAAACAAAAATATTCAAACAGCAAAAGGAGGCATTGGACCCTTCCTGACAGTTTGAGCTCATCGTCATAACGTTTCTCCCGACGATGATAAATAATCGGATAATGACGGCTGCTCCTTCTCAGCGTCAACACAAGCACACGTCAGGTTGCTCCACAAGGCGCTGATGAGCTGAAGCCACAAGTCGTGACGTGGAGCGGGTCAAGATGACGACCGCAACACACTTTTCTCATTTTGATTGACATTTTCTCTTGGAATTTGGGAAAAATTATGCTAGTAGTTCCTAAAGTGACAATAAATTGTACATTTTGCTTAAATTCATGCCTTTAAGTAGTAGAATCTGAGAAACTGAACTTTATATATGCACATTTAAAGATTAACCTCACAGTTTAATTTATGTAAATTTTAGAGGTGGTTTTGATGTGTCGATTTTGTTGTTGTTTTTGTTGTCTCTGAAAACTACAGATTATTGGTTTGAATACACAGCCTTCGGTGTGAGTCACTTTAAATTGAACATGCATTCAGCTCAAGGCTTCAAACCAGCAAATTACAAAGTTGCTTTTATCCACATCGTGTTTTTGTTAGATTTGATCTGCATATAACACAAAACAGCGTCCTCCATATTTTACGCAGCAACAGAAGCATGCACACACTTCCAGCCGCAGTTTGCCGTGTTTTAATGAGCACCATTTTGGGACATGTGGATGTTTGGCTCTGCGTGAGACTTCAATTCTGGGAGGATTGTTCTGTCGGAGTGGAAGAAAACAAAACTCTCTCTATTGTTTATACAATAATCACAAAGCTTCTAACTGCTCCTTCCTCTGCTGAGACTCCTGGCTCCGCTGCGCCCATGTGTGTGTGTGTGTGTGTGTGTGTTTTATACGTTTTGGAGTGATCTGCAGTTGGATGCACTTCTGTACATATCAGATCTCTGGCCTCCGCTCCCGGCCGATCTGGGACCAGATGTAAGGGCCTCTGCGGCTCATCTGCAGTTTCTTTTAAAAACCCACGTCCAGAAACTCGTGGGTTCTGATAGTCATCTTTATTTTTAGGGATTCAAACTAAGAGCTGGATGCAGGTGGGAGGGTTTTGTGTTGTCTGCGAGTGTGTGTGTGTGTGTGTGCGTGTGTGTGTGTGTGTGTGTGTGGTGGCCAGAAAGCAGCAAGGACATCAGACACGTTGGCAACAAAACGCCACATGGACTGAGGCCCCGAATGAATTAGGCTCTGTCAGACACCTCAGAATGTAGAACTAAAAGGCACAAATAAAATAATAATAAAAATAAAACCCTGTATTGTGTTGCAAAAGAAAAAAGTCACATTTTCGCTAAATCTAATTTGTGCTCTCTCGTCTTGTGTTGCTTCAAGTCATTCAAGAGACATTAAATAGCACATTTTTAAGTGGAGAGCGAGCTGCAGATGAAATGTTTCGTTGAAGTCTCCACAAACGTTCGTGCACATATTCCACGGCCCTAGTAATTATCTTTTAACTCTTTGGCGCGCAATCTAACCGCCTGTCTCTCTACTCTCTGCAGAAATCTCCACAACCTGGAATTCCCTAAACTCCAAGGAAGATTCACTCGAAACTTTCAAAAGATTTTCTCCTGTTTTTCTTCCCATCCTCGTGTGGTTCCTTTCTCTCTTTTTTTTTTTTTCCTGGACTTCTGCTCGACTCGAGGCGGCAGAACTCAGCGGCGGTTGCTTCAGCAAGTGCCTCTGGGCCTCTTTGTGGAGACGTGACGGTGAACTGCAGGACATTTGAAATAATTAGAATAAAAGACAGGAAATAATGAAAAGGAAAGAAAACACAAGAAAAAAAAAACAAACAAAAAAACAGCTGGCCTGAGGTGACAATGAAAACAAAATGGCTGCTGGATGGAGCGCCTTCGATGACACCGCCATGATAACCGTCATCCCATCCTCCCCCCCTTTGACTCTTCTCTCTTCGGATGACTCACAGCCTGACAGACATTAGGATGACTAATGATAATGGCACAGTGATGGTTAGAGGGCGGTCACAGCCAATTTATGTTTACAGCTAAAATGCTAATAAGCTAATCGCTCTGGCTCTAAAAGGCGGGAATCTGGTGCAGATCCTTCTTTTTGGGTTTGCTGCAGAGACTGGATCGCTCCCCTGGTTATTTTTCTTTAAACATATCTTGTTTTGGTGTGCGTACACGCTGTTTCACTTAAGCCCTGCTTACCGCTTTATTCCGTTTCAAACCACTGATCACAGTTCAGCTAATTGTTTGTTTTATTAGCAGACTGTCTGTCTTTAGAGAGTGTTGCAGCTTTGAAATATCTCTGCAAAGCTTAATTAAAAAATAATGCACCAGCAAAACCTCTCAGAAAGTGTGCCAAAGTGTTGATGGTGTGATTACACGCAGAGTAGAGCGGATACATTTGTAACTGTGGGCCCGATTGCTTTTGATCATGTTCCTTTTGTACTGTTTTTTTTTTTTTTTTCATTTGCTTTTCATCATTTGTCTTGTGAACAATAAAGTTTTACTCAGCGCTGTATCAATGTACTGCATTCGTGTCACCCGTTACTTTGCGCTGGTCAAGAAAAAAATAGAATAAATCAAATACTGGTGCATCTTAGAAATTAGAATATCATCAAAATGTCATTGTTTCCGTTCAAATTTCCCAACTTGTAGGTCATATAGACTCATTATAGGAATTATTGAAAATATTTCTGAGAAACAGAAATGTCAACTTGGTTGGGGCTCTTTTTGCGTAAACCATCAATGTAACGCTGGATGGTCAAGGTCACTCTGTGTGACCGGCGAGGCGTTGTGTAACTCTGAACATAACATTTCTGTACCCCTTATAGAATATTTGAATTTTCAAGGAAATTTTAATTGCGGTTTTCCATTAATTGTAAATGACTGAAAAAAGCCTGAAACACATCACCCTGCTGTACATGTCGCTGTTGTGTCTATGACTGGAACATAACAAAGACTTAGAGGAAATAAAACAATCATTCAAATGTGTATAAGTTATGTTTATTAAAAATGGAAAACAAAATAAAAAAGTCAAAAAGCAGAAAAACGGGTCAGAGGGGAGTAAAGTAAGGCACTATTTACACTGTACAAAAAAGTCAGTCAGTTATCAGTAAACTGGACTTGCCCCCCCAGTTTCGTTTAAGCTCCACATGGTTCAGGTCACCTTCACAGGTTGGTCAGTATCATCTAATAATTTGGTCTTAAGGCTTTATATCTGAGCTCAAATACAAAATACAAACGTTCTATTCGTTAAGACTAAAAGGATAAGACACGTCAAGGTTCTTTCCGCTGGAAGCCGTTTCGAGGAGCAGAGATGCCGGACGCGGGCCGCTCCGTCCGTCACGCGGTTTACAGGTTTTTGTTGCACCGACAAGCAGTGGACAGGTGCTGAGCTGCATGTTCAATGTCACACAGGAATGAGCCAAAGAGGGGAAGAAAAAACAAACACACTGGTTTTTTAGCACCGTCTTAACTGCATTGGACACGCAGAGAGCACTTCAAAGACGCCAAATCTGAAAGCATAAATACACGTAATGTCAAATGGATTTGTTTATGTATCTGTGCTTTTGATGCTTTTTGACTGTTTGGAAAGAGAAAAGAAACATTCACAGAGGCTTTGAAGTTCTTTTTTTTTTTTGGGACATGCCAATCTATGGACAGCACATTTTTCTCATAAACTGTGGTTGTGGTTAACCTCTGTCCAATCGCACTGTACGCACATCATCGATTATACAATCAACTGCGTTGGGTTTTGTTGCTCCGTCTTAGCCGGCCCTTCGTTTGGCCGATAAGTGACAGTAAACAGAAAATTACACATGTGAAACACGCATCGTATTGTCCATATTAAAAATATCAAATAGTCAGAAAAAGACACAGCAGGAATGATTCTCCACAGGGAAAGAAACACTGGTCCACTTTTCAAAGTTCACAACATCAAAGCTGAGATCTCTGAGGGAGGTGTAAGTGCACTTTGTCTCTGCGTGGAGCTGTCTTAAAGGCCTTGGGCGTAACAATCATTCAAAATACCAAAACGTGGCTTTCTTTTTGCACAGAGTTGAAGCCATATATTTACATACAGTGTAAAAAGACAAACCTTTTCTCACTTTTAGACATTTAATAAGACTAAATATTGCCAATTGAGGTCACTGAGAATTACTAAAATCATTCTATTAGCAACATGTGAGAAATAATCATGTAAAAAGATGATTTTTTTATTACTCTCAAATTCAGAAGTTTACATGCACTTCCTTGGTATTTGGTAGCATTCCCTGTAAACGCGGGGCCAGACTTTGTGGGTCTCCTTACACAAGCTTCTCACAACAGCTTGCTGGGCATTTGTCCAAGTCACGTTTGTAAACTGCCTTGCTCACTTACAAGTATAAAGTTTTTTCATTTGCGCTTTGCGTTGGCTCGTACAAAACATTCATTTTGTCGTCACCAAACAAAATTTTCCATTCAAAAGATCCATTTGAGGCCCAGTTTCACTGTTGTCTCTGATGCCTTGCTTTAATATTTCGACGTGATCATCTCTCTGCATGATCCCGTCTGTTCTGTGAAGCGCACCGGTCCCTCCAGCAGTACCCGACGATGAACCAGACCAGGACTGCCCTCAGTTCTCCATCTGATGATTTTCCCATGAAGTCACACAAAGAAGCGGCGCGTTTGAGCGATCAAACACGACATCCACAGGTCTTCACTCACATACTGCGCCTTAACCAGTCAGAAGCTTGTGACGTCATCACCTCGGCTTTCCCAAATCATGTGAGAGCGTCTCAATCTCAGTTTACAGCGTATGTAAACTTCTGAATTTCAAAAAAAAAAAAAAAAAAAGAAAGAAAGAAATACCAGACGCGGTCAAAGTGGACCTCAGTCATTAGTCAGGCAAAGAACAAACACAGATAACTTTAGGAACATTAACTAACCCGAAACAGGAAAAGTTAAATGTCAGATGAAGAGAAAATATGTCTCTTTTTATACAGGGCGTCTTTGGTTTCGTCTGTATACAATCTTTAGAAAGTGATCACAATGAGCCGGAGCTTTGTTCAAATCCATATCTGTCTTTCATAATATCAACACCCCAGCTGCTTAAGGTATTAGCTCTAAACTGTGACTAATCGCACCAATACGATGGTATTTCTACGTATTTAAGATGTACTTTATAAAAGAATGATGTGTCTTCTTTTATCTGTCAGAGGGTGATAACTATAACTGCAGCTATTTAAACTCCTGCTGCATGTGCTCGGCTGACAGGCCAAGGAAGAAAGAAAGAAAGAAAGAAAAAAGAGATTTAAGAAAATATGTGGACACAGAAAACAATATGAAACATATGTATCTCAGATTCCACTGTAGCTTCACTCTGGATCTCTTTAAGAAAATCTCATGCTGACATCCACAGAAATGTGTGCCATATGTCGAAAAAAAAAAATGAATATTCAAATGAAGTAGAAACTCGAACAAACGAAAATGTTTGATTGTCGTCACGCTTCACGTTGCTTCCTGTCCGGTCACAGAACGATCACAGTGCAAGACGATCAGAATAAACCCATCTTCTCCTTCATTCGATGTTTGTCAAGTGCAGAAAAACAAAACAAAAAACATCACCTTTCACCTGCCGTCCTAATCCACGCCAACGTAACATTTGCTAAAAAAAGAAAAAAAAAAAAAACCCTCAGTGGTCTGTGCAGGTTTCGGCACAATCAGTAACAAATTCTCATCTCTGCTCCTGCTACATCCTGTTGCACCAGGTCTTCATTATTCAGTCTTTGGACATATTTTAAGTTGTTTTTTTTTACTTCAGTGATCAACGTTGCTTTCAGGAAAAAATCTTTTGGGGATATGAATGTGGCACGAGATGAAGACTCTTCCATAGGGAGTGTCTGAGCCAGTGGCTGTGCTGCAGCCAGTAGTAATGCAGGTTTGTATGTTCCAGTGATGATCCAAATGCATGTATATATAAGTGTGTGTGTGTGTGTGTGTGTGTGTGTGTGTGCGCATGTTTCCACTGAGTCTGAGTTGAAAGCTTTAATTGGGTCGCTCTTTCCTCAGATGGGTCTTTTATGTTCTTCACATTCTTTCAAGCGGTTTCCTTTAAAAAAGAAAGAGAAAGATGTTAGACATAAAATGCAATACTGTTACGTTTAGGTTGTAGATAATTAGAGATGAACTCATTGGAATTTTACCATTTCTGATGTAAAACAAAACACAACACTTAGGAAGATAGGCTGAAAAGTATATATTGAATGCCTTATTTCTTTCTCTGCAGTGAACAATCATAGATAATTTATAATTCTAGAAAAAAACAGCATCACACTTTGTGTCAGAGAGCGGACACTGAAGCAGAATTTCACTCTTTTAACACAAAGAGAACCTGTTTACAGAGTTGACATTTTAAGCTGTCATTAGCATCTTAAACCAGTAATTAGTGTGGCTAGCATTACTAAAAGGTTGGCCTTTTTCCATCGAGAATTGGAGCTGTGACATTTACAAAAGCAACAAGCTTCATTACCAACAAACATTGAAAGCTCAAAAGAATAAAACAGGGTGTTCAGTCTTCCTGTTACCTGCAGAACATCTTGTTCTCTCTTGGTGTCTCACTGTCCAATAAACCAGACTTATCTCGATATGTTAGAAAGTACAGCTTGTTTCCCAGTTCTTCCTCACAGATTGGATCCAATTTTGAGTTTTGAGTGGGGATAAAACTCAAACGTGGCTAAGCTGACAATAATTACAATGTTTTTTTTTTTGTTTGTTTGTTTTACCTCTCTGATGTGAGGGACCCCATTGACAGGGAGGCAATGGCATTGACCGCTTCACTGTCCGAGTCTCGTCTGAATCTGTGTCTCTGTGCCTGGAGGTAGGACAGATCCACAGTTGTGGCTGAATCCCTCACACTTTGCCAGAACTCACCTGAGAGAAAAAGGAAAAGAGGAAGGATACAAGAAAGGAAAAAATAAAATAAAAAGATTAATGGCTTAAGTTTTGGTTTTATTCCTGTTTTCATCCTGGCGTTCTCCTTGAGGGGACACGCCTGAGCTATCCGAAAGAACAGCTTGCTGTTTGATCTGCTAGATGTACATGTTTGATGTGAATATAAGCAAAGACTGTGGTATAAACAGCCTCTGGTCCAAATATCCGTTTTGATAATTTCAGAAATGTAAACTCAGACTCAGTCTGCTCTCTCGGGGCTCACAGTCCTTTGTCACACAACGGGGGGAAAATAGAAAATAGAAAGAAATCAGTGACTGTAAATTTGCTTCTCTATAAGTGCGTGTGTTCTGGCTGCGCATACAACTTACATATACTTCACCCCAGGCCTGAATTATGGGCTTAACATTCCTGTGGCTATTCAAATATTTTTAATTAATCTAATTTGGTTGGGATAACATTTGTGTGCAATCAGGAGGGGATGTTGCGAAGGTCGTGTGCCAGAGAAGTGTTTGAAGATAATTGGAGCCAGGGTAGCTGTGTGTGCGCGCGCGTGTGTGTGTGTGTGTGTGTGTGTGTGTGCTTTGTGGGACGGCTGGAGGGATGGGAGACAGGGATGGAAGGGAGGAGAGGTGGTCAGAGAGCAGAAGCAAAGAGGTCTAAAACGTGTTAAATAGAGTGAAAAGGGGAATTGTTACGAGTTACTGAGAACATAAATGCTAAGAAGACAAACTGTTTGATAAAAGCCGGACAGGAAAACAATTAATTGTTAACTTAAAGCATTTTGTTGAGGCTTTATTGATGCATATCAACAGTGACTTGAAAGCCTCATTTTTATAAGGTATTTATAGGGTTGATATATATATAAAAATAATGTAATCAAATCATATACGCATACACCTCATTCATCACCAAGGAGTATGAACAATGTGGCCCACATAAATCATCTCCTGAAAAATATTTGTTGATGCAAGCCTGTATATTCCCTTCCAGCCGACTGAGGGAAATTTATCTTCAGCTCCTATTTATTGTGACAGTTGTTGTACAAATGATCTGCAAGGCTTGGAGTTTCTTTGTTAGTGTGCCCTAGACTCATTACAACAGAAATTACTCAATCAGTGCTGCAAAATTCTGCAGGGGAACATAAAGTGTCTTACAAAGTATTCGTGACTAGTGAACTTTTTCACGTTTTGTCGCTTTGGAACCAATATTTTCGCTCCGTCTGGTTGGGACTGTATGTGATACACTAGCTAAACAAAAATTATACATGGTTTGGACATTTTTTGTCGTTGTTTAGGAGCAAAAACCAGAAAATAAATTCAGCCTCTCCAAATTGATATCTGGTAGAAGCACATTCTGCTGCAAAGTGTTGTGGGTATTACAGCTTTGAACATTCATAGGCTGGAGTTTTGCTGTTTGTTTAGTGTTTTTGTCTTGCTGGAAGGTGAACCTCCATCTCTTAGAGCCTCTTAAAACCTTTGAATGATGGACTAAAAAATCATTCAAAGGATATTTGTTTATAACATGTTTAACTCTTACTCAGTTTCATACCTGCCCGGTCTCATATGTTTCTAGGTCTTTATAATAATGTTTGTTCGCTGATGTTCTCAAAATAAATCTCTGAAGCTTTACACAATGGCTGTTTGCAAAGCTTTACAAGGGACTATAATTAAGTACATTTACTCCAAGTACAACTAATAAGTTTGCTTTATTTGACTGTTTTTTCCCTTGTAAATGTTATTCTTCACAGTCAAGTTAATGTTGTCTTTCTCACCCTGGATCTGGATGACTCTCTGCAGAGAGCGCACCGCATTCTCACAGGGCTTTTGGTCCAACAGCGACTGGGACAGAGGCTCCACCTGAGACATGCCACACAGTTAGTGATCTGAGGACGTGACACCCTGCGTTAATCTATGCAATGAGATATGACACGTCTCACCTCCATGCCGAGCAAGGCGCTGACACAGGCTTCAGAGGCATCGCAGATGGCTTTGAGGTCATGGCCCCCCTCCAGAGCGAGGATGACCCGGCCTCCTGCCAGCGACATCAGCTGACGAGTCAAGAAGCCAAAAACTAGTAGAGATCAAACCAAGCCAAAAACACACAGATTGGTTGAAAAGGAAACAAAAATTCAGAAAAAGCTTCACTTGTAGAATACAGAATAAGTGGGGTTCTTTTAGCTCTTATTACATCAATATAATGCCAATATGACAGATTTGTGTCAAAAAGGTTTCATAAGGAAAAAAGATGTCTGTCAAAAAATGTGAGACGCATAACAAATATGGGTATTGAACTGTTTTGAGAAACTCTGATGAGTGCACACTGTGCGCTGGCTGATCCTTACGCTTGGCTGTGACGGTGTAGCCTCCCAATGAAGGTTGGTGTCCTTCAACAGCATCGAAGCCGGCGGAGACCAAGACCACGTCCGGGGAAAACTCGTGGGCAATAGGCATCACTACAGCCCTGAAGACAAGACAGAGAAAATGGAGAGCTGTTATAGCAGCTCATTCATGTTCAATAGCAAATCTGAGATCCCATTCACCATTTCAACAGGTGATCAGGAGAACTGTTAGGAGTAAATAAAACATAATGATGTGTAAAGAGGAGTAGTCATAATGTGATTGGATTCATTTCAGAGCAGCATGGGGAAAAACCCCCCCGAAAGATTTCTGATGCCAGCACAACAAAATTGAAACAGGGTCGTTTAAGTGATTTCTACTAGAAAGTCCATCCAGGGAAGGCCTTATCTGGACTGGTAGCTACAAGCATTTACTGGGCTGAACACACTCTTCCATTTTAAAATGGTGAAAAGAAAAAAAAAATTGTCAAAGGCACAGCGCCAAGTGCTTGATCTCAGTTCTTGATTCATGGCTGGAAGACAGCCAACCCTAAGAGGTGGTGCACCTCCCAGGTGTAAATGTGTGCAACTGTTTGAACGTGAATCAGAACCCTGATGATAGCAAAAGAAATGTCTATTTGTTGTAATTGCGAGGGGAAAAAAACAGCAAGGATCTGACAGTAAACAGGTGTCAAACACCAAATATGTTTTTCTAAGTGAAAAATACTTGCTGTTTTTTACATGAGATGTCTGCATATTGTGCACTTTACTGAGCAGGGACCACTTTCCAAGCCTCTCTACTCTCCGTCTTCCTTCCTCTTCTCTCCTGCTGCCAGTTATTTAGCAAGAGCGCATGGCCTATGCCGCGTTTGATTCCCTCTTACTCGCTCTTTTTCTCTCAGCGGCAGTTCAAAGGCATTTGTGCGCGTCTGGTTCCTATTAGGCGCTCGTCCCTCTTCTCACGTCACTGACAGCCAGCCATCTGGGATCCATTGGCCCTAATTACGCCGCCTTTGGATTCCCTAACAATGCACCCCCCACTTCTTCTCTCTTCAGCTGTATTCTCCTTCCCTCCATAAGTTCATTGTTTGTCAGTAACCAGTTGGAAATGAACAGGCATCAGCAGTGCTACCTGTGATGAGACGCACCTCAGATTTCGGCCATTTTAATAACATGTATAACGTCACGGTTCTTGATCTCGGTGATGATGAGCCCTCTGTTGATCGTAATGGAGTCCCAACCACCACAATCAACCACAGGATCACTTCTGCCACTAATATATACCCCAAAACAGACTCACATCATCAATAACAAACTTCTTTTCCATTTGTAAGAGACAGACACATCTTAGAACACCCTGAAATCCAAATTATATATTCATATCAAGCCACAGAACTGGCACAAGATTAAATAGGCATAACTGCATGAAGGTGAAATTATGTTGCTTTTTTTTAAACTGTAGAGCGTGATATACACCCCTGACACCCTCACAATCCACTTCAATTACTCAAACACAATGCTTCTACTTTCTTCTGACATCCGGCAATTGTAATTGTTATTCAGAAAATATGCTTGAACCCAAAATCATATGTGACAAAGGTCCTGCACCAGCAGAATGCGTCTCATTTAGACAGTCTTTTTAGACAGTCTTTGTATGATGTAAGCTTCATGGCAAAAGTAGAATACAGTACTACACTGTGGTTAGCTGAGGAAGTTTTACACATGAAAGCACTTGCAATTTCCTAAACTGGGTGAAAAATACTAAAGCCAGACGCCTGCTCAGGAAAGGACCAGTTGTTTCTTAATCGGGATCCAGAACTCCAGTAAACACTGGGCATAGTGTTTCAAGACAGCCCATTGGGTCGATGGGATTTTACCAGTATGGGTTAGCTCATTAGCATCTTTCCTGTGATGAGGGGCCCACCCACTGTGTCTGAAGCAAGCACCATGAAGAGCTCACATAGCGTTTTATTCATCTGGTGGCGAGCCAGTGCTGCTGACAGATGCATTCTGTGTTCATTGCAGTGTAGCGCACCACCAAACCACATTCATTCAAGACTAACAGCTTGAATGAAGTGAAGAATTTGGTTGGAGAAAAGGTGTGTTCCGGTAGCTCCTGGCTGTAGATCTTTGAATTTAACTCAGCAAAAAGTACTTTTTCCACAATTCTCGCCTTTTTTTTTTAACAGCAGTGCAAAACTGGATTATTTCCAGTCTGTGTACAAGTGATAATGTGATTTAAAGAAGTTTTTCATTGCCTTTCAATGATGCTAAATGGTAAAAGTATTAAGATGCACCTTTAGCTACATGCTCAGAATTTAAATTTAGTGTTGCAGTTGTAGGGAGCACCTCCATGAAGAGGGAGTGTTTTGTATTTGAAGCTTGTTCAGAGTTATAGATGTGTTTTTCCCACTAGAACTCCAACTCATTAATCCAACACTGGTAATAGTGCACATTATTTGCAAAAGTACTCAAATGTCATGTGTATTTTCAAATTTTTTTATATTGAAACCATACACATCAATACATTTTAGATGGGTTTTACACAGAAAGTTGCACAAAATTGTGAAGTGGAATGGAAAAGGAAACAGTTAAATTTTTTTATACAGAAAAATATACAAAAAATGAATGGAGCATATTTTCTCAGCCTTCTGGAGAGGATAAACTCTCGTTCCTTTTGCAAAATCTCCCAACTCTGATTGGAGTGAGAGCATTTCTGAACATTGATTTTAACCTTTGCTGAATAATTTTAATTGGATTTAGTTCTGGACTTTTACAGTTTTTTTTATTTATTTCTTTGTGAATTAGCCAGAGCTAAACAAGGCTCTAGCTGTATGTTTAGGATTATTGTCCTGTTGGAGGGAGAGCCTCCACCCCAGTTTCCAGTCTTTTGCAGCATATTAAATTGGTTTTGTTTCAGGATTGTCTTGTAATGAGCTTCGTCCATCTTCTTATAAACTCTGATCATCTTCTTTCTATTGAAAAGAGGCATCCACTCTATTGTATGCTTCAGTTGTAGTCTCATGTGACCAGATCACCTTCTTCCACATGTTTGTTGTATAAGGCTTTCAGGATGGCTGTTTTGATAGGATTGCAGATGTGCCACACTTTTTACAATCTTAGATGACAAATTGTACACTGCTCTATGAGATGAGTGCTCTGTAAAGCTCATTGTTTTGCAACCCAATAGTGCTTTAATCCTTTATAACGTTCTCCTGATGCTTTAGTCTTTATGATACAGCTTGTTCATCAAAATTCTCCAACAGAGAAAGTTTATATTTACATAAACACATATGGACTCTTGGGTGAAACTTTTAAGGCAATTGCACACATTGGATTTTATTATTTATTCAGAGTAAAGTGACTAAATAGACATGTGCAACATTTTTTGTTTGACTATTTAGCAAGTATGTATTATTTTGGGCTTTAAAAATGTGGAAACAAAAAGTCAGAATTTCAATATTCTGATTGTAAATAGTAGCAGAGGGTCAGTAATGTCATTTGATGTTAAAGACAATGCTATCACACATATACCACATATTAGAAAAAAAAATCTAAAAGTAAAATAACTTCTGTCCATACACCTGCTCTAACAAAGCCTCATTTTCTGTAATAGGACTGTTCAATAATCAAACAGGACTTGCTGTTTGATTAAATATGAATAAACAGTTCAATGAAGAAAAAAGCTCAAAATGTGAGAAGGAAATAGCAAAGAAATGTGTACGACAGCACCCATTCAACTCTTTAATTTTGACTAAATCACAATATATTCAATATCTTTATCAATGCATTCCTGTCTGACTCATCCTTATTCAAACAACACTAGGTCTGATTTAACTCTGCAAAAGCTCAATTAGATAAGATGGATGTGTAAAAAACATAGCTGTAAATTTCAGTGACATTAGAAGTCATCATGAGTTGATCAATGTCTATAAAAAAAACAGATGAACAACTTCTTTACACAAATTAACAAAAGCCTCAATGGTGATTTAAAACACATTCAGATTGATATAATAGATGTCATAATAAGCTAAGAAATATAAAAAGATCCCAGAACGATTATCCTGAACTTCTTCCTGGTTTTAAAAGAATATTTTGCATTTGTATGTGATTATCAGTTGTGAAATATTGAACTAAGTGAAAGTTTTGAGGTGTACACCATAGAATAGACATTTATTTCGAAATAGAATTACTTTTATGTAAATGCACCTGAAATGAGACACAACACTCTACAGCTAACAGAGAAAACTTTGTTTATTTACCTGAATGCAGCCAGGTACTCTGCATCACCCATTGGAGGCTCCAGACCACCAGTCCATCCCACATTGACACTGAAGCCTTTACCCGCTCCTACACCCACCTAGATTAAAGCAGACCAGGAAAACAGTGGGACTGTGAGAAAGAAACAATCACTGAGAATGTCAAAAAAATAAATAAATAAATAACTGAGGGGAAATTCTGAAACTCCACGACAATGACAGATTTGTATCAAATGCTCGCAAAGTTAGCATTGCTGTTGCAAAACTTTGTATTGCAGCAACAGAGGGAACGTCGCTGCATCTCTTCAGGCAACATCAGGGAGGGATTATGATTCCTAAATGAAATACGGATGGCTGTTAATTCAACACCCCTGTCCCTCCATTTTGATTTCTATACAGTTTGTCAACTGGCCTTTGTAAACCAGTGAGCCAGAGCAGAGCTACAGCCGTTTATAATTCCCAAGCTTTAATGTACAACTTAAATGGGCTAAACGCTGACTGGTCTACAACCACTCCCCCATCCCCTGCCGGTGTGTTAAAAATATACTATCTACTGTAAACTATGATAATATAGGTAAAGTATAATGACTGTCTATTATGAGTTCTGTGTGAGAGTTAAATCAAAATCTTGAATTCCATTTTCCACAACTCCTTCATGTTTTAAAAGAGACGGATGCCAGTCAGAGTTGATGAAGCTTCCCTCAGGTTGACCTCGTTTACTCGGGGCAGAAAGTGAACAGAGGCCTGGTTCTTGGAAAGAAGTTGAGGATTCCTGTCTCTCGCTCTTTGTAGTCCTGCAAGAAGCCATTTAGCTGTTCCCCAAACCCTTCACCATCAGTCAATGTGTCAGTTTGGGGAGAATTGTTGGCGGCTGATTGACAGCCACTTGGCAACAATGTATGGTAATTTCCTTTGTGTGTGTGAGAGAGAAAGAGAGAGCGGGCGTGAGTGTGAGTGTATGGGTGTGAGAGGATGCTTGAAAGAGAAAGAATGCTGATGAGCATCACAGAGAGTCTGTCTCCATTCTTCTCAGTGGACGGGATGTTCGCAGGGCAAACGAAAAACACATGAGGCCTCCTGTCTTCTGCCAACTGTTAATGTACCAACATGCATGCGCCTGTGCACACAGTCAGATACACAAGCACATGCACATTAACCAAACATACCATTTCTGCTATAGCTCCGAGTGCATTGCGCTGTTCTTTGTTTTCTGTCTCTCTTTCATGTTTCAGGACTTACTGGACTAAATTAAACCGTCAGTGGTATTTGTGAGCTACTCCGCACTCTATGTTATGATGATGACATCACATCCTTTACCCCATGGAGAGATATATACCTACACGAGGGAATGAGAGACTCCAGAGGTTTACCACACTGCTTCTCAGAGGTTGCAAGTCCACTTCAGGGAAAGCCACATCCAAGCCCAGAAAAGTGTTTTTATGTGTGCTCCCCGTGAGATTTTGTGGGAGAACACTGAGTGTTAACGTGGGGGAGGATGGCAGCATGAGAGGAGTGAATTCGGGGGATTGGAATGAGTGGCAAATGTCAGCATGGGTTGGGGTCAATTCAACTGACCGGGGTAGTCATTACACTTGGTTTTGGGTAAGACCACAGGAAGGAAACAGGCATCTCCATTTCTTGGATTCAGACAGGCATACATCTCAACTTCATACATCCTGCTGAGAGGGCTAGACCTCCAAGACCTCAAAGTTTCTTAGCCAGAAGTATGAACGTAAACATATACACAGTGGTTACTAAAACATACAGTAAAACATCTCCTTGGTACTTTCAACGGATAAACATGTTTGAGAAGTGTCCCAAATAAATTGCCACACACACAAAGATGATGAAAGACTTGCAGTAGGTGAATGAAGACCATGATATTTTAAACTTGCTTTATAAAGCATTCATACTAAGGGATTATGAGAGAAAAACATAACTGGACAATAACAATCTGAAGTTACAAATACTTGCTCAAGGGTAAAATGCAGGATTTAGATATAAACAAATTTAGTCCAAAACTGATAAATGATTTATTTGTCAAAGCTTGAAATGTTTTGTCAGGGGCCAACTAATAAAAGGCACAATTTCATTTGTCTTCATAGGCACACTCTGAGCTCTTGTGGTCCTTACTGGTTCACTGAACTCAAACAGATACTAGATAAACGTCTGTGTAAAAGCAATCATATCCCTTAAATCTTTCCACATTTTGTTCTATCACAATTATAAACCAGGCTGTATTATATTGGGATTTTACATCGTAACATAGCAAGTAAATATGAAGAGCAAAAAAAGTTTCTACAAATAAAAATATGAAAAATAAGTGTGAATTTGTTCATTCCTTTTGCTCTGTTATTTGCACAAAAAACTGTGTTTTTAGTAGGTGCCTATGCAATAAACAGAATACACCTGTGTTTAATTTAATCTCAGTTTTAATACAGCTGTGCTGTGAAGGTCATTCTGGAATACATCTGTGAAGAAACAGGGCCATGAATACTCTTCATAAATAAGCTTTGTTTAGTCCGGGTCTGCAGTTCGCAGACTCATGCTATCGATATGTGTTTTTTAACAGAGACAGTGAAGCTGGTCAGATGTGAATGTGAGGATAAATTAAGCTAAAGACAAAAAAACAAAAACATGAAAGGAAACCTGCTAAAAATATGTTTAGAGACAGTCCTTGTCTAATGTAACAGTGAATTGGTTTTAAAATAAAACAAATCTAGCTCTAGATGTGTAAAATTGACAGACAGACCTCATTGAAGTTGAAGTGAAAGGTGATTGTACAAAGAGCACCTGACCACTCACCTCAAGAGTGGTGAGGGGCTGGTAGGCTGAACATAGATGTATGTCACACTTTTTACTTTGATCACATTTTGAAAAGCACTTCTCCTTTTCCTTCAGTTATGCTTTATTTTGTTTGTGTCCTCTAGATACATTTTTTATAAACTAGATAAAAGGGTTTGTGGCAGCATTACAAAGTAGGAACAAGTTCAAAAGGTATTATTAATATTGATAATATCTGCTGAATCCAGGTAATAAATAATCCACAAAATAAAGAGTTTTATTTTTGTGGGGTTCTATTATTACAATGTAAATAAAACCATACATAGATACTGTTTAAGTACCTCATTTGGATTTCCACTACCAGGAAAGAAGTTTCCATCATCGTAGCGATGCAGAGAGATATACAAAACACTCGGGTCATCATAGAAGGCCTCTTGGGTGCCATTGCCATGGTGCACATCCTGGACAAGATTTGAGTACATAAAGTGTATAAATATATATATTAAAACATATATATATATAATGCAAGTCTTAAACAGTTTGTAAGACTTGCATAACTTTTCACATCAGTGGCAAAAGTTCTGATTCTTTTTTGTTTGATTTATTATAATAATAACTGTTGTTTCATAGAATAATATACTACATAGTGGGTCCTCAAATGCACACATGTTCAGCAGAGATAACGGCTGGCTCTGAATCAGTATATATATGCCGCGGTGAACTTTTATGTGCCTGTGTGTGATTTTGAATTTACTCTAAGCATATGTGGCAGTTCGACTCACACGTGGATAACAGAAATAACTGTCTAAATGATCTCAATTGTAATTAGGATTGCTACTGTAAGTCTGGGTCTTTGCTTTTTGCACCTAGACAACATTTACTTTCACTCTGTATGTTTATAATGTCTCCTTGAAGAGAAGGGTGATCCTGATTGATGTTTTGGTCCTTACCCAGTCTACTATGAGGATCTTGCTGACACTGAGTTTGTTTTGGAGCTGCTTGGCTGCGATGGCCACAGAGTTGAAGTAGCAGAAGCCCCTGTGGACAAACAAACAGGAAGAGTGGCAGCCACGTGTTTATCACAGCACATCTTTTGCAAATTAATTTCACAAAATCCACATATGGCCCGTAGGAATCTGTAAGACAGGTCTTTGGCTTTGTGTGGTGCCTTCTCAGGCCATGACAGTCCCAGTGCTGACTCCTGCCACGTTAACATCTATTGTAAGTTATTCAGGAGTATTATTGTGTTTTAGTTTCTTAAATGTTTGCCTTTTCTTAGCGGACAAACAGAAATGGCTTCCGTTAATAGAATGTTATGCTGACTCTAAAATGTTACACTCCTTAACAATGGAGAAGCCATGCATTTCATGACAAACTGAAGAAAAAGCTTATCATAAAATTTAAGACACATTTTAAATGGTAATTCTGCCAAAAAGCTGGCGGGATGCGAGGGATGATTTCTGAGAAATGAACTCACAGAACTCACAAACGCTGGCTGTCTACAACAGAAGTATGCAAAGAAAATGTTGATGCATGAAAAACAATGGAGGAATGTTGGAAAAGGCAGTGTCAGCATTGGAGTGTGAAGTGTGATTGTCTACGTGCATGCGTATGTGTGTGTGTGAACAATGTACACCATAAGCTGTCCAAACTTAGCTCATCAAGAAAAATCATTACCACGCCATAAATAACTAGTGACAAGCACTGCTGAGCTCACACACACAGCCCCAGCTGAATGTGGTTATTTAGCTAATGCTTGCTATCAAAGGGTGACACAAATCAATGCACGCAGATATGCACATCCACACTTATCCTCATACAGCACATGTGCAGCGTGCGTGGATACACAGCTCCTGCACATCTCTTTGAGGTGCTTTGCTTTGTGTCTTGAAAGCTGTAAAAAACAGTAGAGGAAGTAGATTGCCTCTGGCATTGGGCAGGTAGTGCACACCAGTCATACATTAATATAGACACACTACAGCACCCTCTCTCTCCTTTTCTTCTTCTCAAGTAGCTGATTTTTAAAAAAAACACTTTGCAACCCCCTTAGCTCCCGGTATGCATGCGTGTGTGTGTGTGCATATACTTCTATACTTACAGAGGAGAAGAACGAGTTGCGTGGTGTCCGGGAGGTCTCACCACTGCAAATCCATTCTGTAAGAACATAGAAAACAGTCTTAACACCTCACTGTTTTAACAACTTATTATTAAACATAAAGGTGTTAAAAGACTAACATAAAATTGTTTCAGATATAAATAAAGGTTAACAAAAGAGCTGCAAACACCTTTATTTACTGTGAAACAACTGTCCATTACACTGCACAGTAAATATTGTATATGATATACTTAATTCAAGCTGTATTAACAAGAACTCTTAGATTGCTTGTGTCTTAATATAATGAAATTGAGCTGCTCCAGTTGAGCTCAGTTTGAATTATGAAAATCCTCTTATTTGATAGATTTGACACCTAAACAATCCATCCATCCATCCATCCATCCATCCATCCATCCATCCATCCATCCATCCATCCATCCATCCATCCATCCATCCATCCATCCATCCATCCATCCATCCATCCATCCATCCATCCATCCATCCATCCATCCATCCATCCATCCATCCATCCATCCATCCATCCATCCATCCATCCATCCATCCATCCATCCATCTCACCTTCAGCTATCTATCTCACCTTCAGCTGTCCCTGTGCCACCTTAAGGGCCAGGTCTATGACACATCCTGCTGCTACTTGGGAAGCAGCTGCTGTGTGTTGCTCATTCCAAACTGTATCAATGTCCACCTGTTTATAAAACAAAGGAAAGCACATCACAATTACATTTTATTCATGAAAAATGTTACAGTGTCGATGCAGGATTAGCTGACCAGAGCAGTTTTTCCAGTGGGAAAGGTCTAAGGGTTTTTCATTACAATGGCAAAATCTATTTACTTTTGAAAACATCTCAGACAAAATATTAAATTGTTTAACGACAAAAGTGTGTATGTGTATGAACTTCAAAAAGTTATCTCTGCTGGCGGTCTGGTGCGTTGTTAGGGTAACGCTGAAATTACAGAAATTTCTTTTTTCACAAGGTTTACCATCTTGTTTCAATCACCCCTCTTCACTCTAGCAGCTAAAGGCCGGAAATCCAGGCACATTGGTGCTCTTATCAGCTGCCACCCATCCCCCTTCAGTTTTTCCTTCTTTACTATAAACATAATATAATTTTATTTATCCTACTTCCCTTTTTAGGTTTCCCTAGACACATATATATGTTCAGCACTTTATTTGTATGTTTTCCCTTGTTGTTCCTTCCCCCTCTGACTATTGTACAGACTTTGACTTTTTTGAGGTTTCAAAGTTATCTTAGCCAAAAACAATAGCATGAGCAATTGGTAGTATCATTATCTAAATTGTGTAATAAGGCATAATAAGCCATGTAATGTTTGCTGTTCAGTAATGCAATTAGATGAGTGGAAATATTCCCACATGACTAGAGTTTTAAAACAGATCTGTATTGTGTGTGATTGTGTGTTGATGTGCGCGCGTGTGCGTGTCCGCCTGCGCAGAACTCACCCCCACACCTCCACATGGTAGGTCCACAAAAATACGTGATCCTGCATGGAAATATTTGTAGTATTTAAGAGTTGTAAATATATCACATTTACATATGTACAGGATGTACACAAAAAAAACATCTCACATTACAACTACGAACTTTAATTATTTCATTGAGATTTTATTGAACAAAGGAAAGGTTTGTTTGAGAACAGTAGTGAACAAACAGGATCACAAAAACCAAAGAAACACAGCAGACAGGTTAGGTACAAAAGTATGGAGAAGTTTAAAGGTGATTTAGTTTATAAAACAATATCCCAAGCTTTGAACATCTGACAAAGCACTCTTCAATTTATCATCTGGGGAAACTTTGCCCAACTGCAAACCTACCAAGGAACAGCCACCCACTTCAGTTGGGTGGCTGACAAGCAAAACATCAAACAGAGAAGAAGCCAAGAGGCCCGTGTTAACTTCTGAGGATTAGCATAGATCCGCATAGATCTGTCCACTCTCCCAACTGAGAATCAACAGATTCTCAGGTGGGAAAATCTGTTGATTCTATCTGTTGATAGGCAGACTCAACAAGTCTGGCCTTTATGAAAAAGTGGCAAGTAGAAAGCCACTGATGAAAGAAAGACATAAGTTCAGTTTACAGTTTTCCAGACGCAACGTAGGGAACACAGCGTACATGTCCGAAGGTGTAGTAGTTAGACAGAACCAAAACTAAACTTTACGGCCGACAGGTGAAACGCTATGTGCGGCGGGAAGCTAATACTGCACATTATCCTGAACACACCACCTCCAATGTGAACCATGAAACATGGTGGTGGAAGCCTCATACTTTAGCAAGGACACGGAAGTCGGTCAGAGTTGATGAGAAGAAAAATGGAGCTATGAACAAAGAAAACTTGAGACTGGGATGGAAATTCACCTTCTGGGACAACAGCACTAATTATAGAGCTGGCTCTACAAGAGAATGGCGTAGATCCAGCATAAGATCAAATTGCACTGATTGTTAAACTGAAATCTAATCTTTATTTCATACAGTTAAGCTTAGCAACATATAAACAATAAAAATCCAACACTGAAATTTGTGGTTGCAATGGAACAAAATACTAAAAAAAAAACATTTAAAAAGTATGAATACTTTTGCATAGTAAGATGAAGCAGTGGCATAGCAATATTATGAACGTAATTTTCAGTATTATTATTGATCTTACCAGTGCGTCTCTGGTTGTCCATTAACACATGGTTTTCTGAATGGACGGAAAGCAGCTCTGCACGGGTGGCTTTTCTACTGAGGATGCACTTTAATACAGAAATAAGTTTTTTTTGTGAAGCTCTAGCATGTTTGACAGCAAATTCTTTCTCTCATAGCACATCAGTGTACAAAGTCCCTACCTCACATTGGCTCTTAAGCCCTCTCTCTTGCAGTCTAGACCAGATGCTCTGGATTCTCCCAGCATGCTCAGCGTGGCGGCTGTTGTCTCCACAAATACACTGGTGCTTCTGCATCTGGCTATCATAAACCAAACCTGCATACACACACATGAAGACGTGACTTATAGCCCAATATTTTGTTCTTAAGTCACGTTACCATCCTTCAAAATACACAGCCAATGAAATCCTCCACTACTTTAATCAGCGTTTGACTCACCTGTTGTAAAACGTAGCTTGGCATCTTTGGCAGGGCTGGACAGTGACATAGAGGGTATTATGGTGGGCACATGTGAAGTAGGCGCCAGGGAGGTGGAAGGTGGTAGCGAGCGGCTCCGAATCACAGGGGGATGAGACTGATGAGGCCAAATTAAGGTAGGAACTCCCAGGGCATCTGGCTGTAAAGTTGATCTGAGGATTACCTGCCTCTGTGTTTTGTACAAATGAGTTTAAAGGGAAGACAAGGAAGTATTTAACATTTATTATAAGTCACAGGGAGGTAAAGTACTTTGAGTAAAGTATGGTCCTCTAAAGCCTCCAGCTGGTAAAATTACACATAATGTGGACAATTTAATTCTACTTGTGTTGAACAAGAACTTGATAAGCAAAGATACCTTGCTGCTGAAATATATAAAGCAATAGTGCCCCCTAATGGTAAGACAAATTAATTCAGGTAAAAATTAAAAAGGCACATTGATTTTATACTGTTGGGCATTAGTCAGTGGTTTCTATATATGAAACCACTGACTAACCATTTCTCAAGTGAATAATTTAGAATAACACAGAATTCTAAATAACTTCTCACAATCTTTAGAAGCTTTAACCAGTTATTTTTCAGGAAAAGTTAATGATATTTTTTTCTCTACTATTTTGTTTGCATATGAACAGACATTAGTACCTGACTGAGAGAGTGTGATGTCTCAATCAAACTTTCCCGAGAGGAAGTGATGGACTCTGTGTCATAAACTGAATCGGTGCTGGCATTACTTTCTCTCCGGCGATGGCCGTCTTCAGACAGTGAACCCAGTTCAGAGCCGCACAAAGACCCTGTTCCAGAACCTGATGCTGATCCGCTCTCATCCACGTCCATGTCCTCAGACGGGATCTGTGTCAGACGACATTCTCAATAAAATTGCAACGGCTTTTCACTCTTCAACTCTTTTAAAATGTCTGTTGCATTTTTTAACAGAATAATCATAATTGAGGAATTTCAAATGTTTCTGACAGAATGAATCCTCTTTTTCACTCACTCAGTTCATAGTGAGTAATAGTTTTCTGTTTGGCATGCTAATGTTTACACCTGCCTCTTCTTACCTTGCTCAGCTGTGTGCTCAGCTTAAACCTTTCCAATCCAGCCTTGTGGTACAGCTGGGAGAGCTGTTGGTGGGTGTGTGGATATTGGCCGGCATGCAGGGGCAGGACTGAGTGGCTGTAAGGCAGAGGCTCTGAATGCGCTCGCTCCACAGGTCGATGTGAGCCCAAGGCAACCAAGCCTTCTCTTCTGGGTGAGGAGGATATGTGAGGATGTTGTTGCTGAGGAATGGTACTCAAACTATGAACTGAGAACAAGAAATGCAAAAAAAAGAGCGTGACAACAAGGAATAAGATGAAGGACAGGTCACAGGAAGGAATTGAAAAAGGAAACAAGTGACAATAAGAGGGATAGTAAGAATGAATACTTGGCAGAAAAAAACAGAAGAAAACTGAAGCACGTTGACAGACTGCAGGGAAACTAATAAAACTTGACAGTTTGGTTCGGGCTGAATGACATTTTTTGTCGAAAGTGACACTGCATCACTACTCTGCCCAGTAGAGGGTGCTCTTGTATCAAGACATGCAGGATGACACGTGATAGAAGTTTTAATACAGTCTCTGATTTAAAATAAAAGCTAGTTTTTCACTGTAGATCATCTTGTCTTTGCAAAATAAGCAGGACATTTATTACTAAAAGTCATATTGTCAACTTACAATAAAAGGCTGTAGACACAAATTAGATAAAAAATATATTGGAATTTTTGTTTTCACCAATTCATAAAAACATCAGATGAAATCCACCTCCTCTAGAAATAAAACTACAACTTGTAGATACCAAGCATGTAAGATGAGGTCAAAGTATCAACTATGAGCATAATTTAAATCAAATGTGTATATGTGGCTCTGACAGTTATCAGAGCCACATATGGCATATGTGCCATACGTGCAGATATATGCTTCGCAGACAATGTCACTCACGAGGAACAAGCTGCTGGCGCATCAGCCCCATGTGTGGTTCAAATATGAACACTGGCTGCAAGCGCTGAGACATAGATTGGACCTCCAGAGGGAGGTAGACAGACTGCAAAGTCGATGCTGCCACTGGCTTTGTTACACGCAAGTCAGCCTGCAGAGAAAGAGAATGACAAATTTAGAGATGCTACAGAAGTAGAAACACATTCATTATGGGTGTGGCTTAGAAATTAACAAACTGGGTGATTTGAGGAAAAGCAAAGGATTGAATTGCCTTGTTGACTACTTAAAGTATTCATTTATACTGTCACCAAAAAGGTGTACATATATTAACCTTAGATAAACTAATAAAAGGAACCTAATAAAAATATTGTTTTATCTCTACATTACAGAAAAGCATGAATTTTTATGTTTGTTGGAATTTTACAGAACATAAATTAAATGGATTTTAACTTTTTTTTTTTACAAAAGAATTTCACATCTGAAGATTTAAACCCATTTTACAGATTTTCCCTTACAAAAATAATTAAAGCTATATTTAACAGCTGGTGGATACCAGCCCTCTTCCATCAATTGGAACTTCCTCCACATACTTTTTATTGATTCATTTTGAAGTCTGAATCAAATACTACTTAGCAATTAGGTAATTTTGGAGAGGAACTTGTTGTGCTTTGTTTAATTCAAAGGCATCAAAGTAAAAGATTTTTCTTTAAAAACAACAAAACACCACTTACACTTTTTTTTAAAACATGCATTAGTGTTGTAGCTAGGGCACGTCACAAAGTAAGTAGTTTTGTTTGGTTGTGCAAACAACCAAACAAAACTGTTAGTGGGTGTGTAAAAGTTACGTCAGTGTAACATTTACATTTACGTACAAATAAAGAAATTATTGGTGGTCCCGTCATGAGAGAAAAATACAAAAATGACAAAATTCTGACTGAAATTCAATTCAAATTTTTTGCTCACCTGAGCAGGAAGTCCAGCAGTGATGTTGTGCTTTGCAGTGTGGTTGGCAGGCAGAGCAAAGTGGGCTACATTACCGTTGTTCATCAGCACCCTTTTCGACTGGAAAAGAACAAGTCTAAATTATTGTGGCACATTCCACAACGTCCATAATTTCTCAAAACTCATCACATTCAAACTGTTGTGAAACAAACATTCTTAGCAAAACTGAAAAAACCAAGACTACACTATGAAGAAATAGTCCTTAAACTGTACTCATATTTCATTTAGACTGTTCCTCACTGATTGAGAATGTTTCTGTGTTGAAAGCTCGGGCAGCTGAAATTTACAAGCATTCCATTAAAGATGCAAACAAGAAATGCATATGGAAACCCTTAACTATGTCACACTTTTAAGCAAAAGACGTGACTGTGACTGACATGCGGAGAAAGGGTCTCACCTCAGGAGCCCGTGGGAGGGACACGCTGTCTGACATGAGGGTGTCGTTTGGTGAACTGCAGCCTGATGCTGAAGTGTTGCTTCTGCTTGGGGAAGAGTCTAAATGACAGGATAAAGGGAAAAACCAAACACTGTTATCCACATTGAAACATAAACATGTCATGAAGCAAAATACAAATTAAAGGAGGCATTTTTCTCCTAAAAAAATGCAAATTTCTTTTGCGGAATATTCATTTTTACAGTGGAGTAACAGAAGTAAGTCTATACTAATGAAATACTAAAAAGCCAACATTTAATTTTCTCTGTACTAAACAATGAGCATAAGGTCCTTTTCCAATTCCTGATCCTGATACTCAAGCCAAATGTCAGGATGCTAAGATAGTGGACAGAGCTACAGAGAAATGTCACTTGTGTCAAATTTATACCACAGGGTAACATAGAAGTCATAGATTAATAATTAGAAATTGTGAAATCTGTTTAATTTAAAATGTTAGTAAAGACAAAATTTATTTGCTCACCTGTTGCAGTTACATTTTTGTAAACTAAAGTTTTAGTGACGATAACTGACTACTGACTTGATGAAATTTGATGGGTTTCCTTAGATAGAACACTTTTTTAACCAATTTGACTGAACTTGACTGTATTGTTTGAAAACTAGGATGAGTTGTAATATATAGGTCTACATTTCTTGTTCATGTGTGATTTTATACTTCAATCATGTTTAAAAAAATACATGTATGATTAGACTGAATTGAATTGAACTGTGCCACCTATGATTTTGTGAAAACAAAAACAAAATCCTAATACTGGAGTTTTCTTTTCCACTTAAAAATGTAACTTAAATAAGGTTTGGATTTTTTGAAAGAAAAAAATGGGTGATATTTTGCTGATGTAATACATTTTAAGGCTTTTTACATGTCTGTGGCAATGTGTTAAGTGTCTGTCTCTGCAGATGAACATAAAGACACAATAACCTTAAAACAATGCCATATAAAAGCAAAAAGAAGATTAAGCATGAATGTTCATACCCATATTTTCTGTCCTATGTTTGACATCAGGAGGAGCACTGATCTTCCGTTGCAACGGGTTAGGCCTTGTGGAGATGAGTTTCTTCAACTTCCACTTCAGTGTGGGCTCAGATACTGCTCAAATACAGACACACATGTTAAATAACAGTGACAGAATCGAGTTTAAGTGAACCGTGCAAATACTTCAGTGCTAATGAACTTAAAATCATTCATGTTTACATTGAGCATTCTCCAATAATCCTAAACAAAGTAATCAATCACTGGCAGGCTTAGTTCAGATAAAAGCTGTTTTGTTGTCGCCGTGCCAACTAAAGCACTCTTGTGTGTGTGAGCATGTGTGTAGATGTGTGTCTGTGTCAAAGGTTTTAGGGCAAAGTAAATAAATAATAGTTGGAGTGCTTGCAGAAATGTACCAAAAAAAAAGGGAACCACTCCCACTTCGATTCATACAGTGAGGAAGAAGTACTCAGGATTCTCACGCAGTTCATTTTACACATACTTTAGTTAAGGTTATATGACTTCTCTTTGCCTCACCGTTGCCTCACTGAGTTTATGGCTGTCCTGCAGCTCTGATCCTGCAAATCTGATGCTTAGAGCTTAATTCATTCTAACCCAATGACCACACCAACACGTGTTGATTCTCTTAGATTTTCTATCCTTCTTATGCGCAAATCATGTTAAGAGACTTTTAGAGAGACGATTACAGTATCATGTTAAGCTATGGAGTACAGTAATTATTACTTGGAGGTATAACTCAGATTTCACCGTAATCGTCACATCAGAAATGGAAAATCATGAGCATCTTAAAAGAAAAAAATTGACCTGAGGGAGGCAAATAGGAGTCTCACCTGTTCTTCGCAGGGCGAGGTCCTTTCGCTGGTCACAGGGTGTAGGTTGAGGCTTGAGGGACATGTCAGGCACGGGTGGCCTAGGTAACCAAAACAACATAAGACGCACTGGCTTAGTCACGGGAAAATATGGGGAGGGTTGTTCATCAGTTCTTAAGTCTTGTCACTCATTCTCAGCCGAGTTTAGGTCTGGGTAATTCCAACAAATGAATAGGCTTTGATTTTTAGTGCAGTTGTATGTTTAGTGTCATCGTCCAGCAGAAAGTTTTACAGTATCAAGTCTTTTGCTTACCACTAAGAGTTTCAGAGTTTCCCTGCATATTTCTAGCCCCCTAAAGCTCCCATCAACTCTGATCAATTTTACTGTCCCCAGTTAAAAAAAAACCTCATCACCACACCACTATGCTGCCACCACCATAAGTCCCCATAAAGATTTCATTTAGGACCATTCGTTTTTGTCGTATATCTTGTTTTGCAAGGAGGCCAGAATGTTCAGCTTCAGACTCACCTGACCAGAGTATTTTCTTTCAAATATTTGAGGTCAGCCTCAATAGCTTTAGGGTTTCTTTCCATTATGTTTTACTTTTGCCACTCTCCCATTAGGGTCAGATTTGTGGAAGTCATTATATTTTTGCCTAACAGTTCTCAATGAGATGTTGAAAGCAAGGAATATTGTTTTATAACCTTTTTACAACACCCCCAACCCACCTGGTGTCCATATTCAGCAGCTCTATTTACCGATAAGGTGACTTCTGAAGGCAACTTTCTACATTTAAGTTTGTGAATGTATCAAGTCTGTCTTGACAAAAAACACTTGAACATTCTTGTAAAATAGAACTTTAAATAACATTGATTTAAACACACATCAATGCCAGTCTCACCTGTATCCCGGAGAGGTACTGCAGTGGCTGCCAGGAACCCTATCATGAGGCTGGTTCTTCATGATTATATGATCACGCAGGATCTTCTTTACATGTTTGCTAGCTACAGCACCTGCCACACATTAAAATAAGACAATAAAGTGAACATAGTAGTTATTTTTATTGTAATGTAATAAATAGATATTATTTTCGTGCAACTTTAAGTACAAGCTAATATTTAGTCGTAAGCAGTACAGGGTTTCTCAAACAAAACATAGGATACTTCTCTTACTTTCTTTTTAGGACTCTGTTATTTTGAGAATTTGCTTGGAATACAATAATACATGGCAGTAATGGAAATCCCCCTCATTTACACTGAAAAACTGTCTGTACTGTAGGCTGCCAGAGTAGGCAGCCTGTCTGTACTCTGACAAGCTTTCAGAAAATGTCTGAAAACAACACATTCAACTCACTCTGTTCGTTTTTATTCTTTGGCAACAGCTGCTGTGGGTCTTCTCTTTTCTCCTCCATTTTTCTGTGTCTTTGTTCAGTGTTATACTGTGAAGAAAAATTAGACAATAAACATTAGACCTAGCCAGTCTTCTTTGTACCATACACAAGAGATGTGTTTAGGTATTTAGGGAGTGGCACTTAGCTGCTGTCAATATTGGTTAAAAACATTTCATTTTTGTACACCATTACTGAAACAAAATGTAAATATTGTTTACAGCTCAGTCATATATGAGGAGGAAATGATCTGCTAACAACATTCTGACCTGGTTGCTACTTATATCTGCCGAGTTTTATGCTTGTGTACAGCTTGTGGGGAAAGCAGCTGCTTTCCTCCTGTGGTTAATGTGGCAGGAGGTCTTTAGACATTAAACTGGTATGTTTTGTACAAATAAAATATTGATACTCTGGTATATGACAATACATAAAGAGCAACCTCAGTTTCTTGATTTTGTACAGTATATCTGAACTAACGAAGTTAACACAGATTCCTTCTTACTGCATCTGATCATTCATTTCATCCATGCTTATAAATGCTGGGACCTTTATTTGAACACATCTTTGTCTGTACAGAACTAATGCCTCAGTATCACCTCACCTGCAAGTGGTGCTGGGAAAACTGAGAGCAATGTTGAGCAGTGAGATGTTCCAGATAAAACGAAGGCTGTGGAGCCAGCATGGCCGAATCTGGACGCGGATGTAACAACCTGTGAGTTACAGTCAGATCCATGGGCTTGACCCTTTGAATGGCCAACTGTGACTGCTAAGGATCACATCCACTGTAGAAGGGAACAAAAAAAGAAGGACAGATGATCAGTTGAGCTGTGACACTGGGTGAGAGTTACCTTTAGCCTAGGGCTAACAACTATTTCTCTAATGTATTGGACATGTCAGATTATCAATAATGATCTCCCAAAGAGAACGTATGTCTCTTGAGACTACTAATAATTATTCAAAAGTAAATATGCATCTTTGTTCTTTGTTTTACTCATTTCACCAAAAGGAAACTAAATAGAGACCTCTAGTAAACAGAGCAAAACACAGATATTTTTTTTTTCAATTGCGCGGTACCACAAAGGTTTTGGTTCACTGAATTTAAAATCCTAAAAATATCAGGGGTTATTTTTGAAGACAAGAAGTCCAGCCGCAGCATTGTGGGACAAATTTACTCTCATTGTATACCTTGCAAAAGAAAGAGCTGACCAGAGGGCTAAAGCAGACCTAAAAAAAGTGAACCTGACATAATCTTGCAAACAATGTGCAAATATAGAGATAATGTAACACTGACACTTGAAACGAATAAATGTTTCAGTACTGATGCAAAAATATAGATACAGAATGTATGGAAGATTACATCTTGATGCCCTGTAGTTATGACAGAATTGCACAGCAACTATTCTGTCATGACAACAGTCACTAACATCGCAGCAGCTGGGTTAGTGCCTTATAGTTTTAGCAAAATGTTTCAGTTGCTTCAAAAATTATTAATCTTCTGATGACATCCAACCTGATGTCATCCAACTATCATAACAACCAACTCATTTCTTACAGTAAGTCAGAGTGGAAAAGAAAATAAAGAAATGCAGACAGAGTTCCCCTGAAAAAGAAAACACTCCCACACACACTTACTTACTGTGTACTACATGAGACTGAAACTCAAAAACAAGCTGTGACTTTATGACCGCAGATTAATTTGAAAATCAAAAACACATTTTGTATAATTTCAGATGAAAGTTTGTGTGACAGCAAAAACAATGCAGAATTTCTGGCACGTCTCTTTACAGAAGCAAGATAGTCACGCTTTAAAAAATGTCAACAACGCATAATTTTTTTCTGCATTTCTAAAACCACACAATACCAGTTAACTTTCAGCTGGGTTGGGAGACTTGACAGTATGTAACACTGTTTTTTCCTTTTAGCTTGATATGTTCCCTTTTTCATTCCAACACACAAAAAAATTAAGGTACAGCTTGAAGAACCAGTCAAAGCAGCACAGTTAGTATTACCAAAAGAATGTCTGTGTGTTTTTAAAGGAAATTAAACAATCACTCGACGAGTGGTGGTGGAGGGGACTCAGATAGTCTGCAAACACTTTCACATACACACAAACACACATGAGCACCAAACAAGTCAACTCCCCTGAGAGAAAGGAAATAATCAGGAAGTCAGAAAAGGAACACCTGCGGTATATTTTTACACAGAAAAACTGCATGGGGCCTTTTTCTGTCATGAATGTTGAAGATTGTGAAGATTTGTACAAGCCTTGACAACCAGGACAAAAGTCAATGTTAACTTTATGGCATTTTGCATAAATGTTGTGGGAGTTTTGCAAAAACAAAGAATGGTCTGCAAATTGTTCAAAATCCCACTGGGAAAGACGACAAAAGCAGAGCAAATAAACTTGAAAGGTTGTGGAAAGCTCTAATACTATTTTCTAAAGCTACATTGCTAACATACCTGAGCACAAAGCAATCCTTTAGACATTCAAAAAAACAATTTGCATTTTAAGACCGACGCTTTTCTGGTTGTAATTTTCTGACATGCAGGCATTGAAAACAGACATTTTTCTGTTGTGGCGATTGGTAAAAGTTGTAAAAGGAGCTGAAAATCCATTTCATGCAACAAAAAGTGCAGCTTAAAACTGTTAAGAGGCAATTTAGGAAAAAAATACATCTGAGTGAGAGCAAGTCATCCTGTCGGGATTCAGTCTAAAATGCTTTCCAAACACCTGCGTTTGGAGTTTATGCACTAATGATGTATCTCAAGGCTGAGTTTCAGCATGATTCATGACATCTGACTTGACAGAAAACCAGCTTGGTCACTGCACTCTGCATTCAAAGACCCAACTAGAGAGATAAGATTTCATCTGCATTCAGCCTGAGGGATTAGAGGCGCTCATGATTACTTCCTATCATATTACCAGTGTTCTTCAGAAGAATTAAAACTATTATACACTTCTTTTTAACCCTGCTTCACAGTGATTAATATGTTTGTAGTGAACATTATTTAGGTGTAGTGTTCATTCACCAACTGTGCTTCACAAATACAAGAATAAATACAATTACAGGGTAAAATCTGGTGAGAATAAGAAGAAGTTTGAGTTGATAAGATCTGTATCTTTGCTTCTCTGACTCTCTTTAAAGTGTTGTTGTGCTAAAAATAGCAGGAGGCAAACTTCTGGTTTCTGTAATAGCATATTCGCTTCACACGATCATCCTCTTTTTGTGAGCCCAGTGCAGCAGCACACTAACACAAACACACATTCACACATGCACAACAAACACACATGCTTATACTTTACTGGCGTGCATGCACACCCATGCAGAGACTCACACAGAAACAGTGACTTCCTGTTTCTAAAGTTAGCCTGCACCATAACATCCTCTAGGTTCATTTAGGCAAGCAGAAGCTGCTATTTTCGTTGAATGGCTTCACTGCAGCTCGAGAGATTCACAGATATTCTGTCAGCAGTAATTTTATTCATGCTGCATATTAAATAATATGCCGACTTTGCTTTTTGACTAGACTAAACTTCAAGTTAAGTTAAAGTATATCTATATTCTGCCATTTTTAGTCTCCAGATGCTCAAGCATTTCGCCCTTTGCACTTTGTGTATGTCGTGCACTGAGCTCCTTAATACTGGACCAGTTCCTTTGGTCCATAACATGACAGCTACTTCACCATGCTTGGCACCTTCTAGCGGGAGGTGCCAAGCGGGAAGCCCTCCCCGACCCCCCGCACCACCCACTCCTCTTACGTTTATAGGAATCCACAGCTGCTGGGCACATTCTGTCCCCCTGCTTCCGAGCAGCTGGAGTATCAATCTCCAAATGTGTTCATCCTCCTGTGTGCGTCCATCCTATGCACCCCGAGATATTAATAGCTTGCAGTTGTTTCTTTTGAGAGTACACAGCAGGCCTTTGTGTTTGCATAACCAGGGTCTGTTTGTGTGACAGTTGATGGTGCATTCACATGCATTAGTGCATCAGTGCTGGTGCAAGTGTATTAATAGTCACCATTTGTTTCTTTTGAAGGAGCACTGAGACGCTTTGTGCAAGTTTCAGTGCATGTGAGCAGACCAATGTATTTTTAGCATCACCTGTCGACAAACACTGGCGTTATTGAGCACAATTATGCATGCATATGTGTTTCAGAACAGTGAGTTTGCTGCTACCCAACGTATTAATAGCAACACACCACTTGTCTGGCAGAAGTGTGTTAGAGCTTTGAATGTATTATTAGCATTACAAAAGTTAACAAATGCTTCTGTATTTGTCTATTGCTCATTGAAGTGGAAGTCAGAAACTTAAGTACAACACCAAGTTACAGGAAAAAGGAAACATGTTCATGACAGTGAGGTCTGATAAATACATTGCATTGAATAATGATGCCTCTTTCCAGTAAAAAAACCATACAGTTTTTATGCCATGAACTTAAAAACATCCTGAGATTGTAGAGATTGGAGTTGTGTAACTAAAAATTTATATTTTATTACTTAATCTATATCTTCATATTTTTTGGTGTGTTCAAGCAGCCTGTGGTCAATGTGATTTGTAGATGTCATGGTGTGCACGTAGACCAAACCCGATTTACTAAGTAGGTGATGATTGAGCACAACTGATTGTTCTGGATTTTATTTAGGGATGTCAGAGTACAGAAGATTAAACAGAAACATGTCATGCACTTCCCATATTTTATTTTATTTTATTTTATTTTTTTTGAAAACATTGTAAAATGTTTTCAAACACTTGAGCTCAAATGTTGGGAATGTGCAGTAATGACATTCTCAAATTGAAAAGAAACAAGCGATTTTGAATATTTTTGGAATTACTGTTGGTTTTTCTCTCCTATATCTAAAGATTAAGCATAATCCCTCAGAATGTATGTACAATACAACAGTCTTACCACTGTAAACTTGCCCCTGGGAACATCTGTCTTCAGAAACTGTAACAGAATACCTGGATGTTTCAACAAGAGGCGAAAGGCAGTCTGCATCCACACTGAATACAATCATTCAGTTTAAAGAGAAAACATGTTGCCAGCATTTCCAAATTCACCAACTTTCAGGTGCCTCATAAAAGCCAAACTAAATTTAGGACAAGTGAAATGAAAGTTCTCAGCCACACCTCAAAGACAAACCAGTTCATTGGGACAAAGTTAATATGATTTTTTTCCTCGTAGCATCAATAACGATGTTAAACCCACAGCGTACATTCCACCAGTTGGAAACCGGTTTGTTTAGAACTAAAATTAACCTGGAAGTTCAGCAGGAACTGAAGTTCTACAGTTCATTTAGTTATTTAATGAATTCAGCTTAGCTATATTTGTTGGAATTTATTTTCATGGTTTGATCAGTAATTTAATTTAAAAGTAAACATATACTGAGAAATGTTTATTTCTGTGAATTTGCATCATAATGGCATACAGTTATTGAAAGTCCAGTCAGAAAATTTAAAAATATGAGCCTACAAAGAAATATGCCCATGTACTGCATTATATGCACTCAATACTTGAATTGTTTTAATGACAGTATCACCACTATTTGTCATGGAGATGATCAGCCTGTAGCATGTTTATGTTTTGGGGAAGCCCAATTTACTTTAATATCACCCTTCAGCTGTTCTGCATTGTTGTCTCAATTATTTCTCATCTTTCACTGGACAATACTCCATAGACTATAAACAGATTTGAATTACAAGATGAAAAAATAATAAATTAAAGCTTGGAATGTATCCCTGTGTGTTCAAATTAATTAACTTATCTAGTATGTTCCAATTTATCATAGTGCAATTCGCATTTAAAATGTTATAGAATTATTTTAAATAAGTGCAAAATCAATATGCTAGGCCCTATCTAAGGACACTAATAGTTTTCATTACAGCGGGTTAATGTTTTCATTCTGACCTGTGTTACGATCAACACTTCTGAAAATGATAATAATGCTGAAAATATCTTAAAGACAAGAAAACAAAAAAGTGTCCTACATTTTAATCACACTGACAGATCTAGCTACACAACATTCTGTAGAAATTATGCTTTTTTTAAAGACTGCTTTTGCACATGCACTTGTTATGATGCCAATGAAGTCTGAATTGCTCTAGTTTAGTTCTATTGATTTGCATTTCTGCTTTTATGTGAAATCTTCCTGCTGCCTTGCCTTTTAGCAACCTTCTGGGGACTACAAATGCAATCAAAGCAGTACGATATCAAACGTTTCACGATGTTGGTCACAGTGGGCAGGCTGAGAATTGGTATGCAGAAGCAAAAACTCATCCGACAAGATTCAAACACACAGGCCAACAAGTTGTTAAAATAACTTCATCTATTATGGAGGTTGAATAGTGTAATTATTATTGTAAGGTTATATAACATTGCTAGTTACGTCCAAGAGTGCAGTCATGAAAACGGCATCTTCTTGGAAGATATGGAGATAAAGTATGTCTACTGACTGATGTCATTTTATTCGCAGGGTGTTAAAACTGTCAGACAGTTTTAACACCCTGGCTGACAATTATTACTCATGATGCAGATTTGGGACAAAATCTGCATCATTTTGCAGCATAAATAACAGTTTTTCTCAGTTTCACTTTGGTGCATTTCTCAGATCAGAATAGAAATTCTCAAAACCACTTATTCAAGCTTCAAATCCTCGTGTCACTTGTGCAGATCAAACAAGCTGTTTCTCATTTCTTTGAATAAGTTGCAAATGTCTTTGTACATCCATGCAAGTGATTATGTACAATTCTATACTAAAAATGTACCTTTCCACAGACGTATCCGGCAGACACCCACTTTGAGTCTGCTTGGAGAACGCGTGGACCTCTTTGGAGTGAAGTACACCCGAGTATGTGGGAGCCTTTTGACTTCTTTTTCTCAATCTGTCCTGAATTGGTAAGTTGCTCCCAGGTGAATCCTGACTTTCTTCAACATAGGTATGTGTGAAGTCAACAGCCTAAGAGAAGAGCAAGAGAAGTGAGGCTGTGAAGGAGGCGTTAGGAGGCAAAACAGAGGAGAAGGCAGAAGATGAGTCAGAAAAACTGTTATACTAATTGCACATCCCCCATTCAAATACATTGTGTGAGCAGTATCATAGTAATATTACCATGAATTATTCAAGTTAAGAATAGGCCTGGATTTAACCAGGTGGGAGCTAGCAGTTTAGTTCTTTCATGTAAAATAGTTTGAGAGACTGGACATCTTTAGCACTGACTTAATCCGATCAGTGGCCTCTGCATCTCATCTTTACACTCCATCAACCAACGCTCTGTGATCCTGATATTACCTAATGTTGCGTGAAGGAATTCCTTAGCACACCCACACATTACTGTCCCTTATTTTGTTTTTAACTCACCTGCCTAGATTCTCATGCTGACTTCTGCTGATAGGTTTGGCAATAACTGTGAATCACTATTATTGCACAAAAGGTAAAGTGATTAAATACAGAGAAGGGCTTCTTTGTTTTAAATTCACCCTGAAGTCAGTAAGAATGATATGACTACCTTCCAGTGCTCGGCTCTGCTGGTTTTGATAAAGTTACTGATTGTTGACTTCCTCTCTTACCCTTTACTTTTTTGCCCTCTCTATCATACTATCTTCTTAATAAATTCAGTGTTTCTTTTTTTTTTTGTCTATCTCTCTCATTCTTGTTCTCTCTCTCACACACATAGGAATAATAAACAGCAAAGTGATGGTCCCTTTGCTATGTTGTTAAGAAGCAGACTGTATCAGTAGTCAGCTGAGTTGATCTTAAATCAGGAACAGGAAATGTGATCTGGGCCTCTGGTCGATCCAGAACACTATCCCTATTGTCAGCGCGCTGCTGTGGCTCACACGGGGAAAACACTGCTGACTTTTAAAGGTTATCTCTTCTGGGAAAAAGGTTGGCATTACCTCTTACAATTGTGGAGCACAATTATGTGTATTGGATAAAATGTATAGGCTTAAGATCGTTGATTTAAAAAAAAAAACAGCAGACAGGTGTCCACTGCCAGCGAATGTACCAAGAAATTGTATTTTTTGCAAATGTTATTATACAACTAAAGCGTTGAATCACAAAGGCTGAAAATAAATGATTTAATCTTGAAGTGGAAGATCCCTTTTTTGGTGTGACTAATCATCCTTATAGAAAAGAGGAAAAACAGTCTGCAGACTAAAAAGCAAAAAATCTTTGTATCAGCTTAATTTGAGAAACACTAATGTCCCACAACATTATGTCCAGCTAAAGCTAAAGTAACTACATAAAATTGTAAATAGAAAGTGTTCATGGATGTCCTTTTGTTTTGGCCTTTATCACCCATTTGGACGCATTGTACTGAAATCTACAATAACTGCAGCTGTGGATGGTTTATTAAGGAGTCTCAAAGCTTCTGAATAGTTTTGACATCTAATCAAATAGATCAGTGGCTACTTCTCCTTGGAATGCAGGCGACAGCTGTGGGTTGTTTAATAGACAGTAACAACCATATTTTTGACTAGCGTATAAGCTGGCCTTTACACTACTCATGCTGATAAAAGGTTAGATTTTTTTGACACATCACACTTGCCTAAACCTTTGGGACACGCTTACATTCACAATAATCTGATGTTTTGCTAACACTTTGGCACTAAGCAGTTTAGTGAACTCCCTAATGTCTTCTGGCTTGACTGATAAGATAGGCTCTCTTTGCAAAAGAAGGCCCCTGATAAAATTTGAGAGATTAGCTATAAGAAGCTCTTTATATATGCCAATTAGCTGCAAAATACAATGACAATTATTGAGACAAATGAATTTATTATAAAATTTAGGTCTTTTGATTCATCTCACCAGTCCTCCAGTTTAGCTGTTACGTGTAAAGAAAATGTACAAAATAAACATGACCATCTTGTTTGTTTAAAAATAACTCAAACCATGTGAAATGAAACTCAGCTTCATTCCTCAAGACAAGTCAAAAGGATGATCACTGCACACAAACTTGTGATAAGAAAGATATAAATAGAAGACCATAGTTACAACAAGCTAAGCTAAGGTGTGACCAGTTGCTGACACTAACTGTGAAATTACTAATTCTGTTGAGTTGAAAATGCCTTTGTTCATCACGGTCAGAACATTATTTCTTCATAAAGGTAACTTTAACATCAGTAGATCACATAAATTGAGTGCAAAATAAAAATATGTGACTTACAAGACTGAAGTATAATATAAATGTGAATAGGAGTGCAGGTGGTCATTATTCCTCTGGCATGGTGCTGATGAAACTAATGTAACTCTATCTCTGCTACAGTATTATGACTATGACCTCATCTGTGCTGAGAGAGAGCTAACCTGGTCAAATGGGAAACTTACAGTGTGTGTGTGTGTGTGTGTGTGTGTGTGTGTGTGTGTGTGTGTGTGTGTGTGTGTGTGTGTGTGTGTGTGTGTGTGTGTGTTTGGACTTGATTGTCCACAGGCAAAAGAAAAAACAAGAAAGCTTCCAAAGAGTTGGACAGATTATTTCCTCTGATTATTGTGGAACAGCACACCAAAACTAAAAAACATAGATGTTTTTTACTACTGCTTTCTTCACAAACAACAGGGTGAACTGGTTTCTAAAATTTTGTACTAAAAAGGGTATGCAAATCTTGTAGTCTGTTTGTACTTCACAGTTTTCGTCCTTCCTACTAACATTTTGTACCAGTATACAAATCATGATATCCATGCTCACTTAACCCATAGTATATGTGTGTTCTTCTTACTTAATACACGTAAATTATGAACCAAGTTGTTCAAACTATTTGTATGTCTTAATTTCATCTGTGCTCTTGTTGCATGAAGTATGGCATCAGTACTCTGTGACATGAAAACAATCACCCTCAGTCACTACTGACTTGTGCTTCTATCGCTTTTATAGTGATCTTTTGCTAATTTGCATGGCTCTGGTGTCTCAAATTTTTCTCATGGCAATATCCACTAGGTTCACTATTGCACATTAGTCCGGCATGCTTATCAAACACCTAAGCACAGTGATACCAGTGGTCATTAAACCAAGTACAGGTTTAACAAACTTTTCACAATGTGGACAGGTAGAAGATCACATTGGAAAATGAAATTAGCATCATCATGAAAATTGTCAGGAGAGGAAAGAGTGCAATGTAAATGGTAAACAGCGACACTGTCTCTGAACTTAATATAACACAGCAGCAGACAACATGGCTCCCTAAATCACGACTCAAAATCTTCGACTATGATTTGCAAATGAAATGAGTAACAATGCAATGGTTTTTCTTCTTACAATGGGTAAAATGTTTTATAGGTCATCCCTGGATCTAGAAGGGACTGGCAAGATGTTTTCCTTCTCCTAAACTTTACATTGGATACAGAACCCTGAAACCCCAGCTTCTTAATCAATGACCCATTTCGCTCACACTCCTTGTCCGTGACATATCAGTGACAGTCTGTTGGGTCACTATTAAGACTGCTATCTTTCCATGATTTATTGAGCCATAGTACAACATTATTATTTTTTTAAATGATTTTATAGGAATTACCATACTTTCTGAGAAGCTGTTAAACTCAGCTATCAAATTATCAAAATAAAAACCTATATCTATGGCTTTCAATTCAAGTAATGTCCTAAAATAACTTTTCAGTGATATTCTGAGACACTGGGTGTCTATGACTGAGGAAAGACTACTATTCAAAATTACATCACCATAAAAACTTCATAATTTATGGCAAATGGGAACAACTATTGGTAAGTCATTTGTTGCAGTTAAGTCATTTGTGACATATTTGATACAAATGCAAAGTTTGTCTGCACATGTCCTCTTTAATAGACAAACAGATAGTAATAATGACTCCAGCTGATTTAGCGTTTAAAGCTCAGCTTACATTTAAATTCCCATTTCCCACTCTTCACGGGAAGCCGGTAATGTCGTTGACACGCTGATGACAGGAAGTCTCAGAAAGTTGTTCACCGGGCATGTTAGCTTGTAAACAATGCCTACCTTTCAGGCTGTGAGGTTCAGAAGCGACGCATTTTACAATAAGGTCGACTGGAAGCCGGAGGAAGTCAGAGAGCGGTTGTAAACGTCGTCCGCGAAAGCGTCCTTGTCATCCTCGAGGACGTTGTTCTTGAGAAACTGGTCGTTATAGTGACAGTTAGCGGACGGTTTACTGTAACATCAGCGAGAGTGCCGTTGTTCCAACCGCCAAAGCGCGCGCCGCTGGTAGCCGAAGCAGCGCGAGGAGCTCCTGCTCCGAAATAGAAACAATTGTGCGATCCGCCGTCACACAGCGCTGCCGTGCATTTACGTGCCTCTTCCTCACTCACTCCGACAGCCTGTCGGCGGTGAAGTTGCTCATAAACCCCGCTGGAAGTCTCGCTTTCATGTGCGAGCGCCGCTGGTGTTAGGGCTCCATCTGCTGCTGAACTCATCTGGGTGAGGGTGTTCGTGGCGCGCGCGCGAGCGGACGAGGGTGTGTTCACCTTTATCTTCCATCTGGCTGAGAAGTGGATGCATTGAATCCTACCTAACGAGATATCCCAGCTCTAATTATAAATAGCTATTAATAGCACTAATATCTCTTCACTTGTGGAAATATACAGCAAAACTTGAAGCGCATAATAGACCTTATGTTGACTTGTTACAGTTCCAAATAAAGACAAATGCACAAATTAAAAGTCCTTTTGCAGTGTAATGTAAAGTCACATGTCCATTCAAGTGTTTACAGCTCGGCTTTTTTGTCTGCAATTAAACAAAAAATTTATTTCAGCCTTCAGTAAAGATGCTGCAATGTCAATTCAATACTGGTTGATTGAATTGACAAAATAGGGCGGGAAATTGTGTACTTTTCCAAGCTGCATAATCTTTGTTGCACTCTAATTTACTGAAAATGTATTCATGTCAAACCACAATTTCAATGTGTGCATTTCTGTTGTAATTGTCAGCAGTAAGTACAATTTGTTATTATGCAAATATGATCTCCACGAGTTTATTGTGTTGTGGTTTTGTATACAGTGATTTATAAAAAAACAAAAAAAAAACAATGAAGGGTCATACTGTACTTAGAACAATGTCTGCAATGGTTATAAGAAGTAAGAGAAATTAGATTATGAATCTTTTAGAGACATTTGATACTGTGTGAAAAAGCTAGATGTCTTCTATGCGTGAGAAGACAGAGCAAATGTAAAGATAAAACAAATGTGAATAGCATAGTGTAATGAACTAAAAAATAAAATAGAATTACAAATAAGATGAAGCACAAAAACACATCTATGTTTTATAAGCATAAGCATTTTTGTGATTTATATTTAGTATAAAAACTGGAAATAAGTTAATTAGGAGCTTTGACCAAATTTTTTATTCACATTTTTTTAGATCTGGGGTGATACTGTAAAAAATGCTCTAAAAATGAGTTTGTTAATAAAACAAACTGTGAGGATAGAAATCTAGAAGTTAACGTGCAAATTTAGCACTTTGTAGAGACATATAAAAAACATGCCATTCTTTTTTCTCCCCCCAAAAATAAATAAAATTAATGTGTCCAAGTACAAAAAGCAGCAACTAAGAGAATAAACCAATAAATAAATAAATACATTCAGAAGTTTTCTTTCCACTTTTGTAGCAAAATGGTTTTTTTTTTCAGTTTATTATCTGTTTAGTTATTGGCAAGTCCTGTTTTTTCCACGATGAACTTGTGAATGCTATTATTAGATATCACTGGTAGACATGTTAAATAAACAGGAAAACACATTTGCATGCACCTCAGTCACCCTCTCAAGTATGCAAAAATACCGGTTCTGGGAGTGAAAATCTACAAATGAAATAATGAGTCACTGGTGACAACCCACAGATCTTTACAAAAATAACTCTGACTTGCAATGGTTGAAGTAAACCCAATTACTAACTTTAGACTTTGATTAAGTGTTTCAGTTTGGAGTCTCTCAACTTACCATAACAACAATAACACTTGCATAATACTTGGATTGCACTTATACAACACTGCTTTGAAATAAAAGGTGTTTTATTACCCTGTTTAAATCTAATATATTATCATTATTATTATTATTATCATTATTATTATTATTCATCACTTGAAGAGGAAGTTTCATTGATATCTGTAATCTCTTTCACAGGGAAATTTAGCAAAGTCTACAGCCACACAAATTAGGACTATGTAAAACAGCAACATATTGTCACTTATTGTGATCTACAGATTTAAATACATGAAAGGACAAACTAACACGACAGAATATGTGAGTCTGTGAAGGGAACTGGTGGCTCAGGGTTTTATCTGGGGTATTAAAGTGAACACCAATGTTTAGAATTGAAACCTATGGGAAATAGGGAAAACACTATGGCACCAGATGGAATAATGTTTCTGAGAGTGATGAGAAGACAGCAACAATCTGCCCAAAAAATGTAAATATGGCCATTAAAATAATTTGGTGAACCACAGGGGCCTGTGTGAAATTAGTCAACCCAAGAGGACAGCCTCAAATTCTAAACGACTCTTAAGATCCATCCAAGCTTTTTATTTGTCTTTCATCCTCCACTAACTTCAATAAATTGCATTTTAATTCGGAGATCTGACCATCATGTGAACCCTCTGGACAAGAAGGTTCTGTTTTCAATCACATGCGCTTATAAAGTCGGGCACAGACACTCGTCCAAGAAAATCTATTTCCACGCGATTTTCCATTCCCACATGTTCTCCTCCAAATTGAGATTTTATTAGGTCTTAGAGTCATCACCCTGCTTGTGGCCAAATCCGAACTGTGCCAAGTAAAGTCAGCATCTTCGGATCCACAAAGATAAGCCGATCTCTGTGAATACCGCTTTTAAAAGCCAACAAAGTAGACATTTTTTACATGTGACCCAGACTTGGTCCTGGCCTACTGAGGCACTCAGTAGGTTTTTATTGCTGCCCAGATAAAATGTTTACCTAAGGGGAAAATTGTGGGACGGGTTAACAAAGTAAGAAGAAGCTACCATCAACAACAGAGTATCTTCTCCCCTGTACTCTTGGCAGGCCATCTCACAGTCACAGGGTTGACTGTGGCCTGAACAATTTGAGATACGTTCAAGCAAATTGAATTTCATAACATTCCACTTTAAACTCCACATTCTTGACACAGTGCTTCTCCCAGCAGCAGATGTAGAGAGTGCCTGGAAACGATTGCCTCTGAAATTATGGCATGCTTCCCCGAAATTAGACAGTTTATCATCGTTACTTGAAAAATTAAACAGCACAACTAAAAATTAATGTGCTTTTTTATTATGGTTTCATGAGCCATAACTAACATATTACTCACGTGAATCATGTCAAAACAAGACCATGCATTTCCAACGTAATTAGCAGCAACATCCAAAAATATTATGCATAATTATATGAAATGATTATCGGTCAGCGTGGAAGTGAGTCTGAAGGCTTGCAGTGCACTGCAGGCTTGCAGTGCCTTAAAAAGATATTTACATCAAGCATTTCAGATTTGCTCACATTGCAATCACAAATTTTATCATGCATTTTATTGTGAAAGCAACTGTGAAGTGGAAGAAAAATTGTGCTGAAAGCTGAAAAGTGTGGCATGCATTTGCAATAAGCCACAACACTAGAGAACCCCACTTTGTTGTAATATCAGAAGGAGTATTCTGTTGTTCGTCATCTCCTTCACATGGTTTGTAGCAAATTTCAGATTCATTTAAACAATGGTTTTCTTCTTGCCGCTCTTCCATTAGGCTTAGATTTATGGAGCGCAGAATTCAAAGTTGTCCTGTTCACAGATTCTCCCATCTGAGCCGGTGTCTCTGCAGCTTTTCCAGAGTCAGCATGGGCTTCTTGGCTGTTTCTCTGTTCATTGCTCTCTCTTTCTGACCTGATCAGTTGGGGTGGATGATCCTGTCATGATGGATGTACAACATTCAGATTTCCATTCACCACTAAAACACAACTATAAACATATTTACCTCTGTTTGCTCCATTTCTCTGCACATTGATTTTGCTTCTGCAACATCACAACTGAAAAAAGTGATCGAGACAAACCATTAATACTGAATTGGACAAAGCTTTCTTTGTGTTTCAAATTGGCCTGTTGAATTCTTCCAAGTTTTAGAAACTTCTAATTTGCGCGTGGTCTAATCGTAGACAAAAGTTTTATGATTTAGAGGCACAGTGACTCATGTTTAAATGAGGTTTGAACATAGAAACAATGTTCAAATCAAGTCTGCTCTTCGGTGAATGAGCTGTATTTATTAATTACTGCCAGGCAAAATTGTTGGACATGCTTTTTTTTAGATTCAAGAAGTAAAAAATGCACTCTAGAACATTTAGATTTTTATCTGTACAAAGTTTGAACCTATTTATCACTTTCCTTTAATTTATGAACTAATTTCTTTTGTAAATGAGTTTGCGGCTGTGATGTGATTAAATATAAAAAAGGCGCAGGGCATGCATCATCTAGTATGTCATGACCAGAGGTCAATGACAAATACCCCAGAAAGGGTTTAAATTAAGGGGCTTCAACACATCTTTTCACCTTGCATTCAATGAGAATTTAATTGGCAGGTTGTTGGAGAAAAACAAATATATCTTGGTTGACTCTCAAAACAGTTTGATTCCCTGAAAAATCTCCAAAAGCAGAGAAATGACAGATGTTCCCTAATGTGGGTAGATCTCCAAGGTGGAGGCTTGTGGCCAGTGGGGCTCGCTGCTCTTCCAGTCACAGGAAGCCGGTAGGAATGAGAAGAATGCAGTCAGGCAATACGGTGATGGAGGGAGCAGCAGTTGCAGGGCAGATTGCCAGAAAAACAAAAAAACACTTGAGGAAAAGATATGGTCAGAATGAAAATGATTAAAGAATAGGGCAGGGGCGAGGGGGAAAACATTTACCAAATGAGATATGAAAACAAGATTTAAAATCAGGTAGAAGAAAATGCTCAACTACATGAAGTACTTATGTTGAGTTTGGATGTTGTGGGTGGAAATGGTAAAACTCTGCTTCTCGATACCAGCTGTTTAGGAGGGATAACTTTCATTATATCGGAGGGGTCAGTGAGTGAAATGACACAGCAGATCACTGGGATGTGTGTGGAATGTGAGAAGTTATCAGTCGGACAGATTTCCTGGCAACCGGTGGAAGCCAGAGACCTAAAAACAAGAATGTGCTTTTTTAACGTGCAGGGGGTCATCCTATCGCACAGACACATATATGCACACTGGAAAGTGGAAACAACATGGACATTTACAGCAGGTACAAACTATGTGAAACTGAAAAGCTTTGATGTGTCTGTTTTTGCTTTTTCTCTTCTTTGTTCAGATCATTTTATTTGCAAGTTAAAAGACTATTCCACTCAAATTGACCCAATTAAAAAAAATAAATAAATAAACACTGGTAATTTTAGCACCATCTTGAAGCATTTT